TTGGGGTTTAGTAAAGAAAAATCGGCTGGAGCTGCTGCTTCTAGCAGGGCTGGTGCTGGGCCAGGCTGTGGCCAGGCACTCACAGCCATGCAGTGAAAACTAGGGGATCTTTTTAATCCCAACCCAAATTCAGACTTTGCACTTGACCTTGTTGAACCCTATGAGGTTCACACAGTCCCACCTCTCCAGCCTGTCCAGGTCCCTCTGGATCCCATCCCTTGCCCCCGGTGTGTCAACCCCACCACAAAGCTGCAATAATAATAATCCATAATTTCATTTGCAAAAACACAGCTTCATCCTATAACTCCAATTTGCTGTGCCAGAAACAGGTCCCAACCCACGAATCTGCTGCTTAAAACACATCCCTCACATTCCAAGTGTCAAACACCATCCCCAAACGCTGCTCCCGTGAGCTCCAGCCTGTGGTTCACGTGCCCTTCCTTAGGTACAGAGGGACCAGCACCCAAGGGGCCCCTTTCCTGCCTCCGCTGAAGACAGGAGCCAGAAGTTTGAAAAAAAACTTATTTTATTGGAACTCATCTGAACATCAGATATACCTGGTGCTGGTTAGCAAGAACCGTTTGTACATTTGATATTGATGGTGCCAAAAACCCAAACAGCGACCGACGGGATGAGATGGAAATGAAACAAAGAACAAAATCATAAAATCAGATGTTGGAGAGGTTAAAATGCGAACAGAAAAGCAGAAAAAGAATCAGCCAGTCTAAAGAGGGAGTGAAGGCAAAATAGCTCCTGCCACAACAGAACCCTTGTACAAAATAGGGGGTTTGTAAGAAAAACGTGGAGAAGGAAAGAGAGACAGAGGGAGGGAGATGGAGATGAGCAGGACGGAGCCATGGAAGCTTACACTGCCCACATGGCATTGAACCCAGCTCGAACCTCACCAGACAGTGACACATGCTGCAGCACGCCCTGCTCCACCCCACCTACCGACCCTGGCTCCCCATGGGCGCTGCACTGGGACATTCCAAGCTGTCTCCCATCGGCTGTTGGGAAAATAAAGGAAGCCCAACGGCAGCAGAGGTCAATGGGAGGCTGATGGCGCCGGGGTCTGGCTCCTGCAGGGAGGTGAAGCCTCGGGAACGCTGCTCTCCTGCTCTTCCTACTTGGGGGGACAGGGGGGTGAACACAGACACTCTAGTCTAGTCTATACAGGAGCATGCAAACCAGGCCTCGGGGAAGAGCGCTGCTCCCTGCAGCACAACCCGGCCTCGGGGCTGCAGAGGGCCGGGGCTGGTGCAGCACAGCGGCAGCTCCGCAGCGTGGTCCTCGGGCACTGAAGCCGTTGGGAACATCACTGGGGAGCTGCTTTCGAGGGGATCTGAGGCCTTCAGGATTCAAAAACAAACCACCAGTCTGTACATTTTGGGTCTTTTTTGGTTCAGTACAAATGGAATCAACTTGGCTGTTACACACTGCAAGTCTCAGCTTTGAGAGCAGAGGGAGAGATAAAGCAAACTCGTTTTGGGCACCTACTGGTAACAAAACTTTGTCCCTGCTTAACTCTCTGCCATCCCTCAGGAAGTGGAAAGCACATGTTTAGGTAGTGTAAGCCTTTTTCCTTTTATTTAGAATACCCTCTTTGTTTAAACAATATTCCCCCCCCAGATACAAAGTTCGGCCAGTAAAGATTACATGGAAACTGGAACACGCATCGTATGGATACAGGATGCACTGGATGAGGAAGTTTAAAAACTTTCCAAGCGAAAAGTAGAACAAAGAGAAAAAGAAAAAGAAAAAAAATAAAGAAAAAAAAAAGGAAAAAAAAAAAAATAAAAGTCTCCTAACATTTTCCCAAAGGTTTCACTCTCCTGTCACACACACGCTCCACATGACAGCAAATTCAGCTCTGCAAAGAGAAAACAGAGCCACATCAATGCAGAGGAGAGGCAGCGAGGCTCGAGGACGCCGGAGCTCTGCCCCCACTCACCTATGTTAGCTTCTTGGCTTTGTTGTAGAGCGAATCCACTACTTTACTCATGTTCTGAATAGTCTCGAGGGCAGCTTCGTATGTTTTGTCTACAGGGGGTTCATCGAAGATGATGAGGACTCCCTCGCCTTGGTCGAGGATGCCTGCGGGCACAACGCTGCGGTTACCTCAACGCATCACGGCTTCCACCCAGCAGGAACGTAGGGATCTGCCTGGCAAACGGCCCTGCCTGGGGTTGGCTGCACTGCATTAGCTGCAGCTTCCCCAGAGAAACGAAACCATCCTGGAGAGGGGCCCAACAAGACATCCAGGAGCTGCTTGTGCCTTGTGCCTGCACGTTCCCCAACAGCCACCATGCCCCGTGCCCAGGAGGTGGCTCAGACAAAGCCCTTTGATAACTGCACTATTTCCAGGTGCCAGATGGGCCCCACGGCTGCGTTCCACAGTTCCTGAGCTGCTCTCTGACCAATGTGCTTCCTTCAGCCACTCGTCTTGCTCAGTCAGAACCAGAGGGCTTCCTAAACTGACACTAGGGACAGTGCAAACAAGAGCAAAGGCCTTTGTTTCCTTGAGGGCTGATTAAGGAAGCAACCTCCTCTGGTCCCAGACAAACCCGAACCGCTCAGCTGTGCTGCAGGAGCAACACAGGGAACACTCCTGACACAGATCCCAGCCTGGTTTGTGTTGGAAAGGACCTTAAAGCTCAGCCAGCTCCAACCCCCTGCCACGGGCAGGGACACCTTCCACTAGAGCAGGTTGCTCCAAGCCCCTGTGTCCAACCTGGCCTTGAACACTGCCAGGGATGGGGCAGCCACAGCTTCTCTGGGCACCCTGTGCCAGCACCTCAGCACCCTCACAGGGAAGAGCTTCTGCCTCAGAGCTCATCTCAGTCTCCCCTCTGGCAGGTTCAAGCCATTCCCCTTGGCCTGTCCCTACAGGCCCTTGTCCAAAGCCCCTCTCCAGGTTTCCTGGAGCCCCTTTAGGCACTGGAGCTGCTCTAAGTTCTCCCCTTCAGGAGCCTCCTCTTCTCCAGGCTGAACCAGCCCAGCTCTCTCAGCTGTCGTATCAGCCAGGAAAGGTGACCTTACTTACTGCAGTAAGCTCTGAGGCAGAGAACATCTTTGCTTGACAGCCCACCAGTGGGCCTCACAACCATCCTTGGTTGCAGTCACAGCAAGGAAAGACTTAACAGTGGTTTCTGATAAGCCTCGAGCTTAACAAATCCATGGAGTGATAGGAGCAGCCTTCATGATAACAGACTAACAGATGAACCCACCACTCTCTACTCTTCCCACATTGTTAACCTGCAGATCCCCTGTCTGAAGCAGAGCAGAACTGTCTGAGGAGGACATCTGGGGCTCAGAGGTGCAGTGATAAGGAGGAGTTTGTCCTCAGCTGGCTTACACACAGCCTGGCCGTGGGCAGTGAGGCAGTCAGGACTGAAGGATGCAGAGACTCACCATGAAATTTCTTGTCCAAGATCATCTGTGACAGTTTCCTTTCTACCTCAGCCTGAAATTGAAGCAGAAACATTAAAAGTCTCCCAGAACTATAAAAAAGAAATGTGAATTTCACTACTCCACACTCAACAGCCTTGGTGGGATATAAGCACTACTTTACACCAGCTATTTTATCACTGAACACAGTGTCAGGACAGATCTCTCCTTGCACGTTGCTTTGACACTACCATATGCTTTAGATGACAGAGGAAATTAAGCAGTAGCTTTTAACGATGAGAGGACCAGGACGTCTTGCCTCTTGCTGCACAGAAGAGGGTACATCTGCCATCTCATCCAGGCACTCACTAGGGGATGTGGAGCATTCTCACTTGGTTCAGCAAGTATTTAGTCAAGTGCTGGCCAAGCTTCATTTATGCCACTCAGCACCAAGGTGACCCCCTGCCCAGGCCCCACTGCAGGAGGGGGTGCTGGTTCTGCAGCTAAACTGCTGTCCAGCTTTTACTCAAGCTGTGTATTAGACACCAAGGGCAAACCTAGGGAAAGACTGCACAGAGAGAGAAGGAAGACAGATGATGTAATGACCATAAGGGCCAAGCTTGGCACATTTCCACACCTCTGGCCTTAATGTCAACACGGGACAAAAGCACTTTGGGATACAACTGGCTGGGACTACAGTGGCTTTTCCTAAAACTTAATCTGGCTGGGATTATCTGTAAAGCAGTTATTGCAATAGTCAGTGTGTCACAGGCGTCCCTAATGAAACTGCAGAGGGATTAGCTGGATCCTTTATCTTAGGGGTCTAAGAAAGATTCCTCTGGGCACACTCATGAGGATTAAATGCAGGTCAGCAGGGAAGACTGAGCTGGCCACGACAGGAGCTGTTACTACAGCAGAGGAAAATCTGGCTCCAGTAAAAAACAAGTGCAAACACCAGGAGTAAAACCCATGTGAAGGAAGGTGAGGTTACAGCTAGTAACAAGTCTAGTGCAAAACTAGAAGTCCAGCGCAGAGGAAGCCAGTCTGATGCCTCCTGGGGACTGTTCACGTTAGAGTTCAGTTCCCAAGAGCGGTATTTGCCTCTGAATGCTGTGGAGATGATCTGTCAGACTTACTATCCTACGTTTATTTCCCTGGGGCAAATGCCATCTGACCTCAATTCCTTTGCCCTCTTAAGATGTGCCACTGATTTCTAGTGATGTTCTTACCTTTGAGAGCTTGATGAGGCTGGATATGTGTTCAATCTATAAGAGAGACCAACAGAGTTAAGTAAATCTTTAGCTGCACTTTTGACACAGAACACAAAGTATGGGGTTCTTCTATCTCCAATGGCTTTGCAGTTTAGTGTCCTTCAGCTTTCATATCCAATTTTAACTGAAGAGGGACACCTAAAGCCATTTTCACTCTGAAACATGAAATAAGGTTTTATCTCCAAGATTACTGCAGCTTCACCCACACCATATGAGAGCCCTGAAAAGCCAGACTCTACTACGTTCAGTGCTAAAAGACTGTCCACCTTCAGTGTGGAGGGTGGACACTAAGTGAAACAGGTGGAAAGGGCAATGACTCCAAAATGTGGTTTTCCAAAGTTCCCCTGAGCCCTCTCCTTATCATTTTTAGGCTGAACATGATGAACTCTGAGCTCTGCAAGTGCTGAGTAGCTCCCAGTAAGAAGTGTTCTGTATGGGCACAAGACCCTCACCCACCAGCAGCAGGGGACAGAGTGGCCAGTGTGTTGCTGTGCTTGCTGGAACATTTACCTGTACTCTGGAGAAGGGTTCGATGACTCTGATCAGGTTCTGTTCCAATAAGTTATCGTAGAGCTTAGCCAAGTGAGTGTTTATGATGGGGTCGTCCCTGAGCTCCACCTTATAGTCTGTCAGAGCCTGCAGAAAACACAGTGGGGATCAAACAATTAAGGTAGCAACAGGTCTCCTGTCCCAAAGGTCCTCTAAGCCTGAAAGAGTCTTCTCTCCCTGCCCAGCAAAGTATCAGTGGTTAATCCAATCCCATAGCTTAGCTAAAAGGCCAGGAGGTCACAACAGCCTGGCAGCCTTTCAAGCATCTTTCATCTTTACACTGCTGGAGCTTAGCAAGAGAATGTCTGCTTTCCACTCAGGAGACAGCATGGCAGGATTGTTTCCTGACATGGGAATCCCCCTCTGTTATCTCTATGGTATTCTTGCTGAAGCCAGAAAAAGAATGTAGGAAGATACACATCCCAGTGAACAGCACCAAAAGCTGCTTCAAGAAAAAAAGGGGAAAAAACTAGTTTCCAGCAAGCTATTACTCCCCATGCTGCAAAAACCAACCCGCTGACTATGGTAAGGCATGTGTTGATGCACTGTTGCTTTCTTTGAATGCTTTTATGGTTTCCTGCTGTGGAATGTAACAGCTCCTACAACTCTCCAAACCTGGCATTTCCAGGCAGGCCCCATTCTCTGTCTCCTGACTCACCTTTTCAAAATCAGCCAGCGATCGGTTCTTGCTGGCCTGGGCCACACATTTTAGTGCTTCTGTCTGCAGAGGAAGAAAATAAGAGGTTATTTTCCTGGGTTCTCCTCTCAGTGTTATTACGCCAACTGTGCACTGTATGGGAAACGTGCTTAAGCAGCAAAATGGGAATGTTCCTCTTGCTACAAAGCCATGTCAGTGTGACTTCCACACAGGCAGAGTCAGAACAGCTGCTCATAAGGAGAACATGCGGAGCAGCTGCAGGACACAGCGTGAAATCAGCTCCACAGAAACAAAGACCTCGCGTTCTGCAAGGTTTGGGAACACCAGCTGCAGTTCCTATCAGGTTGCAGGTTGGGAGCAAGTCTGATCCAGTTCTTCAGGAAAGTGAACATTTTGGCACTTGCTTAATGAACATGGCCATTTTCAGCCCATAAGCTGTGTGTCTCCTTCAGCATGTCCCACTTCCCCTGCTGAGCAGCAGAAGCACAGCAGTCCTATGGACACCCTGTCATGGACAGCATCAAAAAGTGTTTCTTGTCTACCCCACAGCTGCTGAGAAAGCAAAACAGCCACAACCAGACCACCGTATTTATACTGAACAGAAGAGTAACACCTCTAGAAGAAGTGTCCAAGTAGTGAGAGGCACAAGCTCACAAGACAAGGACAGCCCAGTGGCTGTGGTGCACCAGGCCCAGGCTTCTGCTGCCACCTCTCCCAGCGAGCTGCCCCAAGGTGCCCACTTTGCCTCTGCTCCCTGTGCTCAGTGTCCACAGCTGCTGCAGGAACTTGCCATCACTGCTGAATCAGGAGGCCAAGGGCAGGGAATAGCTGAGATTTCCTGCACAGCACACTGCCCTCCTGCTCTGAAAAGGAGCCTCCAATCCAGCTGCCACTGGGGGAAGCAGATGAAGCAGGACCAGGGCTGCCCTACATGATCTAGGAGGGATAACACAGGGATATCCCCACTTCAGACTCTTTTCTAGCACATATGCTCACTGACCTCCCCTCCTAAAGAGCTTCCCTGGTCCTCTGTGAAGTAGATGAGTATCAGCTCTTGCGTCAAAGTAAATAACAGGCTGGCAAAAGCCACTGAGGGCATCAGTGTGTAAGCCTGGCTCAGACCCTGGCACGCTTGGCTTTTGGCGCTGTACTTTATATAAGCATCCCTGGATTTAATATGGAGGTGGCTTCACAGGCTGGCAAGTTAACATGTTAGAATAAGCACTTGATTTAACAGCTCCCCAGATGCTTGGCTTCCACCTTGCAGTCATCTAGGTCTCAAGCTGCTCAGCTACACTGCTACGAATAGGTTTTTAGGACTTGCTGCAACACAAGTAAAAACAATGAGTAACTTGGATTTAAATCCCATCAGCTCCACGGCTGCAGAGCTGGCGAGGGTTGAGACACAAGTACCTCAGGGCATTAGGCATTTAGTAGTTAATGAAGAAAGCAGGGAGGAGAAAACCAGAAAGCTAAGTGAGCAGGCCAGGTTGTGAGAATCACTGTATTCCCTTTGAAGGAAACTGACTTATGGTAATTACTCCCGGTAATTTAATCAGTTCTGGATCTCATTCAAGACACTCAGAAGCAAAGGCTATTTTGGTATGAAAAGACCAACATTTTGACAAACAGCATGGCATCATATTCTCAGAGATAATAGGAAGATAGAAAGGATGAAGTTTCTATACCTGTCTTCCTGCATACCGCAGAGCAAGCTTCCCACTCACTAATGCTTGCACATCTTCTGGGCTAGAGAGGGGAGGGAAGGGAAGAGAGCATTTATTCAACACCACGGTCAGCTTCAATCTAAGAGTGTCTCCAAAATTCCCCATTGATAGCAAATTACTACAATTCAAGTAACATTGAATCAGAAGCATAAAGACAAGTAGAGTCATATAAGCAAAAAGCCTTTCCCATTTCAATGTATGGAGTATTCTTCACAGAACCATTTGCCACGTACATGTTCAGCATGATTTTGCACAGCAACATGTATTTGAGCGCAGTGATGGCTTTTGGGTTGTCAATTGAATCATATCCCTCAAACGCCTCATAAAAATATGAATAAGCTGTTTTCCAGTCCTTCTCTTCTGCTGCATGGATAATACCTGGGGAGAGGAACAAAAAGGCAGGCATCAGAGTTAATTCTGAAAGTGAGGAAGAAGACAGAATGATTTGGATGCGCGGTGCTTTATCTGGTACTTCAGTAACGGGAATCTTTCCTTCTGTGCCTCCCTTTACCTTGTCTCTACCAGGAGAACATCCATGCCCTCTCTTAAGGGGACACGTTAAGAAAGACAAGTTGAGAACACTCCAGGTAAGTGCCTGCAAATTAGGTCAGGAACAACATTACAGTTGTACTAACACAGTGTACTGTGAGTGCTCAGGGAGATTATGGACCCTCTGTCACTGGAGGTTTTAGAACAGACTGAAAAAACCATTTGTCAGGAACAATGTAATTACAGCTGATCCTGCCCGGAGGCAGCTGGGCCGACTTGTGGGTATTCAGGTCCCACCTAGCATCATTTTCTATGATTCACTCAAAAAAGAACAAACACCAGTCAACCAATGCATCACGACGAGGCCCAGCCCTTCCCCTTTTCCTGAAGGGCTTTACCTGACTGCATGTCTAACGCTGCTTGCAGCTTGGGTGGACAGTAGATTGCGTTGGCCGTGGTCCGTGCAGAGGTTAAGGCTGCTCTTGCTTTTGGCAGATTGCTCAGGGCATGGTAAGTCTTACTTTCTAGCAGTTGCACTTCCACCAGCAATGCCTTGTCATCCATCTTTTTCAATTCCCGAAGAAGCTGGGAGCCTGGCAGTGAGGAAGAACAAGATTACCTTTGTAACCTGCTCTGCATCAACAGCTACACAAACCAAGTCTTTCCAGATGTCAGCCTTCTTCCCCCACAGCAGGGCAGGCTTTCAGAAGGGAGGCTAGGCTTACACAACCTGTTCTTCCAAGAAGAAACAGGGGAGAGGAAATAACAGTGGGTCAGTGTCAGTCCACAGTTGGAGAATGAACCAGTTTTGTGTTAGGGGTGGAAGAGGGCAGTAAGAATACTTGGGTATGGAGACAGCACGTCTCTGCCACCTCACCATGGGCATCAGGCAAGTCAAGGATGGGTTGTGCAGTTCTGATTGTCACTCTGGCACCCCTTCCCCAGATGACATCATGATTTACCACTCACATTCACTGTTCTGAGCAAACCTGAAGTACTGCCCATTCCTGTACCATTCCCTGAGGATTTTCAAGCAACTCCTAAGAATATGGGATGAGGAAGGAATGTTTTAAGCACAAGACATCTATGGATCAAATTCAAGAGGTAGGAATGGGCAGCCTAAAAAATGCCTAGATAAACTGTCCCACTAAAGCCCTGTGAAGGCAGAAGGAGACAGCCTTAGAGGAAACTTTTCCCCTTCTTTCCCCCCACCACAAATTAAAGAACTAACTTAGGGTGAGCAGAGATGAGAACTTCATCCTCACTTGCTACGCTCAGAAGCTGAAAAGCACACCTAGAACTGCATAAATAGGTGGAAGAGAAGGCCTCCTCCCTAGAAACATCTCATGGGTACTCTGCTTGAACCCACTCCCTGCAGACACAACCACATCAGCCACACAGAAATGCTAACACCCACACTGACACCTCAAAAAGAGCTTTTGGAGAGGCTGTCCTATGGCACAGGCCTTCAGAGCTCCCTAAGCTGTACCCTCATCACCCAAGTGATTAATTTACTGAAGCACAGCTTTGGAGTGTGAACTGACCAGTTTAAACCTGAATTTGTGACACATCTGTATTCAAACCAATTCTAACTCGATAATTAATGCTGTGCACTTCACATAACTTGATATTCAGATGAGATCCAAGTCACCCAGAGGACTCTGGACACAACACATGCTCTTGCCACCACACTGCTTAAGAAGTTACAGGTCCCTAGTGAGATGGGTGGGCACTTCTTTCCATGTCAGTGCAGTCACCCCTCAGCCCTGCTGGTACCCACATGTGGAGCTGGCAGAGCAGTCTGTACAAGCCAGCTTAAACCTCATCTTACATTACTGCAGTATGTGCAAAATGAGCATCTGAACAGCAGCAAAGGGAGCTGGGCCATGGAGCTGACCTGCTTCACTCTGCCTTGCAGCAGAGCAGGAGGGTTCACATGGTTAATTACCACATCTCAGGTGGTGCAGAAGCAAAGGCTTTACACTACTGCACAAGAGCTTGTCTAATTATGTCCTTAGAGGTTTGCCACTTCCTGGCATTACTACTTCTTTTACTGGGTATTTGAGCAAAGCTCTCTGTCCACAGCATTGTACAACGTGTGTTCCAGCAGGAGCCAAACCTGATGGCCTTCAACAGGATACAGCTCCTCTCTGCTTCCAAAATTACTGGAAATGAACAAATGGTGAAAATAAAATGATCTCTAAAAGCTGTTATCACCAAGCTATAGCAAATCATGGCAGAACGGGTACAGCTCTGAAAAATCAATGCCTGACTCCTACAAAACTTAAGAGGCACATGATGAGTTATTTCCCTTGTCAGCGTCAAGACTAACCTCAAAGCCAAGATCTACTACCACCACCTAGTGGAAGACTCACCTAGTTGCAGTGCTTCTTGGTACCTCTTGGTATCGAAGTACAAAGAGACCAGCCTCGCCTGGAGAACAGAAAAGGAACTGCTGTGAGGGAAGCCAAAGAAAGGTAGCACAGATTTATTTTGTAAAATGAAACTTCGTATTCTTATCTGCACAGACTTCACTAAAACCGTTCGTGCTCATTACATTGTATGGTCCAGTTCTGCAAGATCTACCATTTGCAAGTCTAAAGACAATGGGTAAAATCCTGCCTCTTCAAGAAGAGTCACTAACTTTAGTTTAATAGTTATCATAGAACAATAGAATGGTTTGGGTTGGAATGGACCTTAAGACACTTCACCCTAAACCAGGTTGCTCATGGCCCCATCCAACCTGGCCTTACCACCCATCCATTACATGTACAAAGACCTGGACAACACACTGCAAGTTTTGCAGGTATTAAATGTGATAAAGGAAAGACACTATTACACAGGTTTGGGATCCACAATGTAACATACCTCCAGAGCCTGGCGTAGGAAAGTCCTCTTCTCTGATTTGGCCCATTCAATACACTCTAAACACAGGTCAACCTTAAAGGGAGCAGAAAGAAATGTGTAAAGCCTTCTGCTGCCCCTCTTTAAAACAGCAGTATGCTTCAATCATTTCCTACAAAGCAACAGAAATACAACAAAGCCTGAATCTCCACAATGTAGTTTAAAGAAGCAAAGTCATTCCTGGTTCAAATGTTGCACTAGCCCAGGCTGGCAGCCTTCAGCATTAGTGCCTACCCAAAATGCCTCTTTTAATACTAACAGGGTAAGTGTGGTTTTGTAGTTCATCGCTGATGAGAACTGCAGCTCACCAGTGCAAGGTTAACCAGCTTCTCACCAAAGACTCACTGGTAACCACACATGAAACACTTTAGCCTCAGGCTGCATCATGCTGAAACCAGAGTTTAAACTCACAGAAATGTTGTGCAAAACGACAGAGACCAGCTAAATTGGGCTATGTATTTTCATATTCCATTTGCTAGATAGATTAACTTCCTGCACTTTGTTAACAACATTCACAGTATGACACTACTTACAACACATATTGCAAGAGGAAAAAAAGTTCAGAAAGCAAACTAAGGTTGAATTTAAGCTTTAGCTGTCACAGAGCACCTTCTTCAATTCCTTTTCTAACGCATTTGGCTTCTTCCGGCCACCAGGGACAACCCTCCCACACTGGAACATGAAAATAAAGATTTGGCTTCCAAAGTTTCACCAGTAAAAATTACTGCTGAAATCCCAATAGCATTTCTTAGGCAGCTGTGTTTTTGTTGGAAATAAAACCATCTGGGTATACGAGAACTGATTCTGCCTTAGGGCAACGGATGGACGAGAAGACTTTGAGGTCCCTTCCAGCATGTGTTGCTCCATTTCACTCAGCTATAGAGAAAACTGTATTTTCAATTGCTCTACAAAGAAAGGAAAATAAAGTGCACGTGGTTTAGGGCTTAAATATGCCAGATCAGTGTGTCCTTTCACAGTACAAAGCAACAGAGGTGCTGGGCTCCACTGTCTGCAGCAGAGTCGGGAGCCAGTCAGCAAGTGACACTGGATGTTTTATCTACTGCTTCAAAGCAGAGTGAAGGCACCCAGTGGCTGCTCATACTTTTAAGACTATTGTGATTCCCTTGATGAATAAAGCAGTTGTGTTCTCACTTCATTAGAAGAGGGTGTCAATTTAGTACTGGCCAATAATATACAGTAAGTCATCCTGAGGTGCTAGGCTCAGGAAAGCCTTTTCCCAAATCTCTGGATCACAGCTCTTTCTGGAACAGCTCTGTAGCTGCACCGCACTGCAGGGCTTGTCAGCTGCTCAACACTGCTTATTAAATAGGGACACTTTATGAAAAGCCATTATGAAGTCTCAATTTATTGCACAGTGATAGCTGGAGCATTAGGAGCTGGAGAAATCTCTAATTTCATTGCTTTACTGGACTCTTGGGAGTTGTCTTAACATACATTTCACTGAGGAAGCAAATGTCCCTCTGAACAGGCGTGGAAAGTACTGAGAACTGCTGCATCAAGAACCTCACAGGTTAGGTGTCACAATTACTTGAGGTTTTGTGATTGGCTTCAGAATATGCTTGAAAACGAACAACTTTACTAACTTGGCCGTATTTCCATCACTGTTACTCCAAGTTCTTCCCCCACCACAAAATGCCACCTTTTGGGACTGAATCCAAATACCATCATTTTTATCAAGTTACTTGAAGAAGTGTGAAGCCATTTTCTCCTGACATCTTCAGGGGTTCCCTTCTCACCTGCACATCCTACCCCACCTCCCTTAACCTCTTCCATTAAAGAAGAGGGGCAAAAGATTCTGTCAGCATTCACAGCAACATGACACAAGCCACAAGTACTGAGCAGCAAATGAAGAACATTTGCTGGGTTACCTGAGCTAAAGGATAATAGTTTTGTGCTAATTTGGCTACTAAGAATGCCACCTGCATCTCAACACAGCAGAGCCTCTTCTAGGCTGATATTTGTCACTCACTGTGTGTACAATGTTATGTGGGCTTTGTCCTTAATGTGTTGCTCAGACCCTCCCTGCCTCCCCTCTCTATTTGCTCTGGTGTGCCAGCACAACCCATGCCACTGCAGGTCAGCGCTGCTTTTAAGTGGCTCCTCATCATTTACAGGTTGTTCCTGTCCTTCTCTCATTCCCAAATAACCAACAAGTCACATGGACAGAAGAAAAAAGAAGAAAAACAACCGTATTCTAAGAGCTAATGAGAATGGAGTAAATCCTAACTGTGGGCTACCATAGACAGAATGGGTTTTCTAGTGGAGAAGTTCATCCACTGGAAGTAGTCACAAGTGGTAGCTGCAAAACTTCTTCCACTTCAGTAGTAGCTTCCATACCTCTGTAGATTAAGACACTCACCATGTTGTCTCCAGGTGAAAGACACTAAGTAATACTCACCAACAGACCTTGAACACTCACTCCTCCAGCTCCATGCCATCACACCCTGTGCCCAGCTGCCCACAAGACCACTGGACCCGGCGCAGCATCTCTCCAACACTATTCACACCACAAACTACTACTGATGCTGTGCACCTAACAGCAAGCAACACAAATCAAACTGCCCAGGGCAAAAGTTACTCCTAACCTGCAGCAGGATGAGGCTTGCAGAAAAACATGGTTATGAGTGAAGTAAATTAGCTAATGTTTTATTAATAGAATCTATCCAAATGCATTAAATGAAAGTTTCCTAACATGAATAATTCTTCAGGGTGGAGCAAACTGGGTCAGATAATGGTGTTAGAGGCTTTTGACGGACAGACTATTGCTGAAATTTAAATCTCACCTCCTGTCCTGTTGCTGCCTCCATATCAAGAAACAGATCAAGCAGGGATCGGACTAAGCGGGCGGCCTTTGCTTTGCTGATGGAGTTCAAGAAGGGTCGAACATACTTGAGGAGTCCTCCCAGCTCTGCATACAGCAAAATAAAATCATGAAATGCAACTACAGAGCCAAAAGTTCTACTTGACATGTCTATACACAGCAGTATTTATTACATCAAACAGTTTATAACAGTCTCTGGCAGAGGTGAGTGTTGAGCTCCCGTCTCACCCGCACAGCACACATTTCCCGTTACTTCATTTTACCCAATTATAACACCATTTGTAACTACACTTGCCTCAGGCATGCTTTAAAAATGGAGGAATCTGTTAAATGCTTTGAGATTTTTCTATAAAATAGAGTTTATGGTTTAAGAATGTTTTTATTAACTCACAGCATGACGTTTTACTCTGCCATACCAGCCAGCCTAGAAAGTCCGATACACCTCATGCTCTGCTGCTGAGCAAATGACAGTTCTTAACACCTCAACTACCCCCATAACCCCATTACTTAACTGGATTGCTGTTTCTACTACTCCCATTATTAGCGTACAGTTAAAAAGCCAGTCTCAAGCTCACAAAGGAAAAGTCTTTCTTTATGAAGAAATACACTTAAAGTGTCATTCCTACAGAGCACAGGAATGCAGCAGCCAAGAGCATGGCAGTTCCAGGACTCCATGTCCAAGGGAGCAAAAGGGAGTTACATGTTGGAATTGCACAGCACAAGTTAGAAGTTTTCTCCTTCTCCAGCAGGTCAAGGGAGGGGATTTTCCCCCTCTGCCACACTCTGGGAAGACCCCCCCTGCAGTCCTGATCCAGCTTTGGGGCAGCAACACAAGAGGGATGTGGAGCTGCTGGAGCAAGTCCAGAGGAGGCCACGGAGCTGCTGTGAGGGCTGAAGCAGCTCTGCTCTGGAGCCAGGCTGAGAGAGCTGGGCTGAGGCAGCTGGAGAAGAGAAGGCTCCTGAAGCAGCTCCAGTGCCTAAAGGGGCTCTAGGAAACCTGGAGAGGGGCTTTGGAAAAGGGCCTGTAGGGACAGGACAAGGGGAATGGCTTGAACCTGCCCGAGGGGAGACTGAGATGAGCTCTGAGGCAGAAGCTCTTCCCTGGGAGGGTGCTGAGGCGCTGGCACAGGGTGCCCAGAGAAGCTGTGGCTGCCCCATCCCTGGCAGTGTTCAAGTCCAGGCTGGACACAGGGGCTTGGAGCGGGCTGTGAGCAACCTGCTCTAGTGGAAGGTGTCCCTGCCCATGGCAGGGGTTGGAGCTGGAGGAGTTTTAAGGTCCTTTCTAACACAAACCAGTCTGGGGTTCTATGAAGATGATGCTTTCAGTAGAGCAGCACCACACCACCACAGGGTTCAGTGCCTACTCATAACATAGTGGGGTTGTACACTGAAATCACAGCTTATTTGCCCCAAAATTTTAAGTTTCACCAAAACGTCAGCTTGATCTCACACAACCACATTTACAAGATTTGACAGTAAAGAAAACACCAAACAACCAAAACAAAACCTGTAATGAGTATTTCAGGAATACTTCAGTGTGCTCTGTACCAAACTGGTGCTGGAATCAAAACTAAGAGACTAATTTCATTTCAATTAGTCTATGAAGGAGCATCAGCACAATTTCCCTTTGGGAGAATTCCAATAAAAACAGCTGAAAACAAGGTTTCTTTCACATTTCATTTAGCAGTAATGCAAAGAATTGCTGTAAGAGCATCTTAACATCTACAAATCATTCCTTGTCTTCTTTACTATTTCAGCCTATTTACTTATAAGTTTAATCAAGCCTGATACAACTCATCTCTTACACTATGAAGAAGGGAACTCAGTGTGTTCCAGTCCAGCTGCTCATGGTGATGTGCTGACATTTCTATACATCTGAAAGTGCAGTTTTAGAACAGACAGAACTCATTTCCAGGGTGCCCTGAATCCTTCTTTTCCAAACAGCAGCACAAGAAATCACGACTTTCTACAACAAACCACTCAGGCTTTGTCCAGGGAACAAACCAAGATGCTGTGACTGCCATGCCTAAGGTTTCATAGAAGTTTTCCCTTCTGCCTGAGAATAAGTGGGCAGGTTTTTCTAGAATGAGGTACAGTTACTAAGATTTAGCCCCACTGACAGTTTCAACTCAGCTTTTACTCCCCAAGGATCTGTCACCTACTGCCCCGTGGCAGACAATGGCTTCACCCTGCACTCAACTCTGCAGTCCCACTCACAGGTGCAAATCCCAATCATTTTAATCCAATCCCAACACTTCGGTTTCACATACAGGAAACAAATTCCCATCAGCAGCAGACACCCGCTTCCAACACACCAGTTCCGTGCAGAGCTGCTCTCAAGCATCCGTCCTCTCGATGTGAGCTCAAAGGTGAGCTACACATCACCTTGTTGGGCTTGGAAGAGAAGCAGCTCTAAAGCTGGAGTTGGCCAGAAGCTGGTTCTTGTGCTCTTCCCTGATGCAAATAACACAAGCAGTTGAAAACACAGGGAACAAGTCTGCTTCTTATCCAGTCACAGCACCATATCTTTATAGCCTTGAGCTCTGTAACTAAGGATTTGCCAGTTTTTAGTCTGTCTCATCAAGGCAGAGAGACTCTTGATGAGACTCACCAACTCTCAACTACTGCGAGGTAGCAACTCTTCCTACTGCTCTACACCAGCTCCTCAGAACCAACCACATCATATTTTTAGTGCCAAACACACTCTTCCATACAGGAAAGGAACTTCAGGAAAAGAAAAGAAAGCCCACACTACAGTACTTCCCTTTCTGTTGACTTGCTCAACACCTGCCCAAGAATTCACTGGAAAACAGATTTGATGTCAACAGCTAGAATATATCTGTACATTTTGCAAACTACACATTTAGCCATGCAAGCTCCAAGTTCCACATTTAGCCATGCAAGCTCAAAGTTCCCATAGAAATTTCTCTTTCCCACCAATGTAACTGTCAACTATTTTTAGGAATCTTTTTTTTAACTTGCTTGGTAAAAGGGTGTGATTGACAGCTCTGGAGAAGTGATGAGCAGCAGCTCTGCTGCTCACCCTCAAAGACAGTACTTCCACAAGCTTAACATGCCATGGACCTGAATTCCTGCTCCGAATTCTTCCAATCCTATAGTTTAAAGCAGTGTTATAAAAATCTAGAACTGTCCTAAAAAACATAATTAATTTACAAGTTCAACCCTTTATCAAGCAGATGAAGAGGTCACTTGTATTACTGTTGTTGTTAAATAAAGGCTGTAGTTCAACAGAGGTTAGTCCTCTAAACACTACAGGTTCATTTCCCTCTCTCAGCCAGTCAGCCTTAACTTTCAATCTCCACCAAAATGCAGCTGATTTTGTCCCAGATCCCTTCATCTCTGGGAAGTTATCACTTGAAAACAGCCAATGAGCCACTGCAACGCCTCAAATCTGTCAAAGAAATTCCACTGGCTAAAACTAAACCACACACAGCAAGAGCTACAACGATGAGACCTGCTTCATTCAGGCCAGAAACTGCTCAGTCTCAGTCATTCCTTGTGAGGTTCAG